CCCCCCCGAACCACTACTGGCTTCTGGGGGCGCTTTTTTGCCTTTCTCTGATGCACTGGCATGTTGGCCTCAGGTAGGGATCTGGTTTTGACTGTCGGTACCTTTAAAAATAGAGGTTCCTGGATAGAAGGCCTTGCTCTTTCACTTAGTCATACCTATCACCAAATCTGAGATTTCCAAGACTGGCATGAGAGAGGATGAACTCTTAGAAAAGATTTAGTTGTGTGGATTGAGATTTTATTCAGAAAGTATCTGCCAGGTTTACACCACTGCCAGAGGGGTGTAGGTTGTAGCTGTGTTGGCCTAAGGACATAAGCAGACAAGGTTCTTTGGGTGAATCTGAGATCTTTTATTAGACTAACTTAAATAGTTGGAAAACAATTATTAAGCAAGCTTTCAGGTTTAAAAACCCTTCATCAGGCTAAGGAAGAGCACACATCAACTGTTGTAACTTCCTTAGCCTGACAAAGGGTTTTTGAACCCGAAAGCTTGCTTAATAATTGTTTTCCAACTATTTAAGTTGGTCTAATAAAAGATATCAGATTCACCCAAAGAACCTTGTCTGCCCATGCCAGGTTTAGATGCATCTTGTGTGCAAAGGCCTTGCAACAGGTCTGAGTCAAGGTTGTCATGGAGGTGACTGTGGCAGGAGGTGGTTGTGTTGAGGCAGTAGGAGATGGGGTTGACTTAGGAGAAATACTAAGAGGTTTGTTTTAGCTGTGTTTTGAACTTTGATCTTATGGCAAGACACTCGTGAGAACATGATGCAGAAGCAGGCTGAGACTTTGGCTTGGGTTTAAGAAAACAAGTTGGGAGTAGATGCACCTCTGGAAGTCAAGAAAAGGACAAGCTTTCAAGAGCAGTTTTCTTAACGGTGTCAAATATGACAGATGAAATCACAGATAGCAAGGATGGCATGATTCTGACCTTTGGCTAGTAAAAGGTAATTAAAGACTTGGAAAACCCTTCTTGGGTTATACAGACAGTAAAAGCCAGGTTAGAGACTCTGTGGTGAAAGGGAGGTTCACTCTGAGCTGCGGTTGTAAATAATACTTCGAGTTTATGGGTGAACAAAATGCAATGGTGCTTGGACGGGGAGGGTGAGGTGAGAGGTGTGCTTTAAAGATAAAGTCCACATCATCCAGAGATGTACTTCTCTGGCAAATTAAACCAGAACAAATGGAAAAGAATTGCGGGGCTGGAGTTTAAGAGGAGGAAGTGTGGGGATGAGTAGTCAGATTCCTGGTGCAAGCGGAGGGGATGGAGGAGCTGCAGCTTTATCTGTGATGGGGAATGGGGAGGGAAAATTAAGGGGTGTGGTCCTACACCATCTCTTTAGTGACTAATGCTTGGTCAGCCAATTATCTCTTTTTCTCAACAACTTTCATCCCCCCTGCTGCCCATTCATCTTCCCCCATCTCAGTTTCCTGCACTTGTCTGCCCTGTCTTCTGCACCTCCCGGGAATGTGCTTAAGGACATGGCTGCGTCTGGCACAGTTGATAGTGCTCGTTTCTTTCTTTCTTTCTTCCCCCCCGGTTTTTTGCTTTATACTGATCTTGCTGATGACTACAAGTTCCTCTTCCTAATAAGTATCAGGCTTGCTTTTTCCTTGACAGCTATTTTTCTTTGGGTATCTGGACCCTTCATTGTTAAATCTGTAGAAGCAGCTGCAAAATAGGTTGAGCACCTTCTGACAAACAAGTACTCAGCAGACCACCAGTTAATATTTTTTTTGGTGCACAGTTTGCCAGCGCTTGATGTTTAATGCTGCTTAATATTTTTGCTTTTTGATGCTATTTTGATTAATTATTATAAGAGTAATTGCATATGTATTTGCTTTGATGATGATAAAATGTTGCATTTTTAAATTCCAACAAGATTTATTTTTTCAGTTATTAATAAATTCAGTTGTGATGCAAGGCAATAGTAAAAATGATTTTACTAGTAAGAAATGTGAAGTGCCAGTAGTTTAAATGAAGGTCATGCAGGAAGTGTGTGGTAGAGGCAGGGGCAGAACCCACATCCTGTACTTTATCCACAAGGCCGACCTAGCTCTAGTTGTCTGGTGACTCAATATTTCTGCTAAACTCAGAAGAGTATAAATAAAGACCCATCTACAATCTGTTCTCTGCAGAAATATATTTGCATGGGTTGCTGTACCTTATCTGCTAGTTTGGGGCTAAATTTACAGTGGATTGCTTGTCTTCCAGTAGAGAAGGTACTGTAGTGTGTTGTTGCTGCTACTCTATATATTACATGACATTCACACAGCAGTAGTAAATGATGCACAATATCAGCTAATTTATTTTAAATCTCGTCACTAGAAGAAATTAATTGTGGGATTTTTACTAGCATTTCAAAGGTTATCTTTATTTCGGCACACAAGCTGTAAGTACAAGGTAATAAAATAGCAGTTCTAGTTTGTAAAGGTAATTTCAGACATTGAGACGGCTAGGTTTTGTTAATGCTTTTTTTGCCTCCCTTCCTCCCCCCCGCCCTTTTTCACTCTTGTATCATATCCTCATAGATATATATACAAGAGCATGAGGAAAGGAGTTGAACTAGTGTTTCACTGGAGGAAGTAGTTCTGAAGAATTGATTTATCTGTATTTCGCACATTGTTAAGGCTTATCTGGCACAATTAAAATCTTTCCCTTTTTGGTTAAGTACACTTGTCTCTAAGGTTTTAGTCCTCCAAGAAAAGAATTTTTTAGTGCAGCTAGCAGCATAGGGATCTAGTGGCTGCCTGGGGCAGCAACGACATCCAGTTGCTGCAGTCACAGTTGCAGACACAGCTGCCAGCAGCAGCTGCCCCTTTTTGGCTCCCCCCCCTCCCCCCC